AATTTAATAGTTGCTAGCTGGATATGAGAAGCTGCTTTTGTCTAAAATCAAGGATCCATCGTTTCAAAAATGTCAAGTTGCCACTGTCGTCAATGTAAAATGCATTATGTTCCATGTGAGATATGATATAAATTGTCCTTTTCTCACATATATCTATATATATATACAGTATATTATGAGAACATTGCCCAGATGTTTCAGGATCTGCACGTACATTTGTTTTTTACATTGCACACGAACAACTGCAAGAACATATGTTGTTCTTTCCCGCTCAGTGCCTTAATACATTATGTTCCTTTGTCAGAACCTGTCATTTGGTTCAGTTGTTCTCTTGTACGTTGGTTTTCCTCTGTTACTCTTATGTTCCTATGTTATTGTTTTTGTGGTGAGTTCATAGTTCACTTCTCCTCCACTGCTGCCTCCTCCACTCTTCAAAAACACTCATTGATCAACTTTGCCGTCTCATATTGAACTTTCTTTTTATTTTCATTTAAGGGAATCATTGTAGTCGTTTTAGGGAAGGATTCAGATTGACGCTTGTTGCAGAAACCTGCGACCTTTTGGCCACGTAATGTCACTCTGCCAGTGGCCCGATGACTTCTTTTACTCTACAACTAGTTTCCTTTTACCTAATGCCAGGGGATTTGTTTGACATTTCACGTTGTGCCACCATTAAAAACCCATTTATTGCATGTCCGCCCTCTTCCTCTGCCTCTGCTGCTCCCTGCCTCCGTCCTCCAACAGTGAACTTGAGTGTCTTCTATAATGAGCAGCGTCTCTCTTCTCTCTCCTCTCCTTGTCTGTGGTCCCCGGTCGCCGCTATCAGAAGCCTCCCTGCCGCACGCTGCGTAGCAACAAGCCGTCATGTGACCACTGCTCCCTCCTCTCCCCACAGGGTTGTACACGGCAACTAAATTTCCTCTGGTTTTTGTTCCCAGAATAAAGTGCTCCAGTCTTTTCAGTGCATTATAAAACTTTACTGAAACGGAAAAGATGGCTGAGGCACTCTCCGTGAATGTGGCTTTTTAGCAAGAAAATAAAAATAGAAAGAATATTTTATACTTTTTTTGTTACTGCACCAATTTCTCCTCCTTCACCCCCTTTCCCTGATTCATCCCTTTCATCTTGACAGTGATTTATTCCCTGCTATCATTTCTATCTCTGGTCATCTTTCATTCATTCTCCCCCCATGCTGCAGAGGTAAACAAACCTGTCTTCCTGGACTCCTCCTCAGCACGTCCCTCCCTCTCTACCTCCGCCTCTCCCTTTCTTCTCTTTGAAGCCTTCTCGCTTTTTAGCCTCACTTTCTCTTTCTTATCTCTCCCTGCATTTTGTACCAACCCCCCACGCCTCAGATCTACTTCCATTTTGACTTTGTACATCACGGCTACATTTGTGCAGTCTCATACGAACGGGCGGTTTGGTTTGATCAATATTAATGGTCCCCCTGCTGTTAAGTAGAGGGAGGAGTATGAACACGCAGAGGATGAAGGCTCCTGTTTGTCTGGCTTTGATAGAGCCGTGCTTTATTCCCCCCTCTGTGTGTCATCTGCTCACTATCATCGTGAACAATATTTCCCCATGTGCTCTGTTTATGCATTCTGTCATGTTTGTGCAGCGTGAAGATGTATATATATGTGTGTGTGTGTGTGTGTGTGTGTGTGTGTTATGGTGAAAAACTGGGGCATGTTTACCTTGCACATGTGTGGGTGATGAGCACCACTGAGAGCGCTTTCAACCTGCATCTTTTATTCTTGTTTTTCTCTTCTTCTTCTTTTTTTCTTTCTTCTTTTCTGCACTGAGTTTGTAGTTCGCAGTCACCCCCGTTTCCCCCGAGTGTTTTCTCTCCCTCACCTGGCTTTCATGTCATGCTCGCTCCCCTATCTCTCTGTACATCTCCCTCCTCGTCCTCCATACCTTAATCCCCCTCTCCAGCCGTCTGCAACAACCAGTGCAGTGGAGTGCATCTTCCCCTCCCCTCCCCTCCCCTCTCCTCCCACCTCTATCCCACCCCCCCCACCCCCCTCTATTGATCTTGAATGACCATCGAGCAAGCGACAGAATCCCCTGGCTTCCATCTGAAATTCAGCCTGTGGATGATACCAGCAGCAGCAGCATATTTGCTGGAGTTGTAAAGTAAACACTTGCCAGTTTGTGTGTATAATGTTACACACAGATCTGAATACTGACGGAGGTTTCTTCACGAGCCGTACGGGGGGGGGTTCAAGGCCAGGTGCTGTGTGTTTCTGTGTGTTTACAGCCAACCTCCACTGATATCCTGCAGCACTGACAATCCATTAACCAGGAACAGTCCTGCTGCTCGGTTTGTCTTTGTTTTACTCTCTCTGTCTTTCTCTTTACTCTGAGGAAGCAATTATTGAACTAATGAAAGCCAGTGAAGCTCTGTTGAATCTTACACACTTTGACACACACACACACACACACACACACACACATACACACATACACGCATGCTGTCATTAAGATGATTGGCTTCAGTAGGATCAGCTTTAGGCCAGAGGTTGTGTGTGTGTGTGTGTGTGTGTGTGTGTGTGTGTGTGTGTGTGTGTGTGTGTGTGTGTGTGTGTGTGTGTGTGTGTGTGTGTGTGTGTGTGTGTGTGTGTGTGTTACAGTCAGATTATTGCAGGTTCAGAGAAGAAGGTTTAAGGTTGTAGAACAATGTCAGGGTGTAATGGATCCAGATTAGAAAAGTGTGAAATGGCACAATAGCAGTTATTGGACCTGCATGTTAAATCTTCCCTATTGGCTTGTGTGATCAATATCCATAAGACCAGTTATAGATCTGATCGATCGGGACGTCCCGGGAGCAGTTAAAATAACGGAAACAGATAGAAGAGATGGAGCTGGCTCTGTGTGACCTGATTGTAATATTTTAGATTAGAATATGAAGTTTTTATTGGATTGAAATGTCACAATCACTAGTGTGACCTCGTGTGATTGGCCGCTGGGAAAACCCCAACAGCCAATCAGCTGTCTCCTGGTGGCGCTGGGAGCTCTCTGGTCATGTTAACAGTAGAAACCTTATTTTTTAAAGACCTGACAGTGAAGTAAGGAAGTAATCTGAGACAAAAACATTACTTGGAAATAAACAAGTGGAGTCTGAACAGTTACCAACAGCATCCAGGTTTTTGCTCTAATATTAGTAGACTAAACTTTAAACTGATGATCTGAAGTTAGGGACTGTCTGAAAACTAATATCTACAGACTCTTTAGACCAACATTACATTCACGTGTGCCTCCTCCTGTTATACACACAGGTTTTAAAGAAAGATCGTATAACGTGGCCCAATACATTTCTAGTGGCTTTATTGTCGCTGTTAGTTTCAACCTGGATTATTAAAAGAGTTCTCCAGCAATGACAGAGATATCGTCTTTTTTATTCCCTATTACATTCTCCCTCCTTGTCAAAACATTACCCACAATGCAACCACAAAGCCTCGAGCCTCTAGCCCAGTAGTAGCAGTATAAATGGCTGTTGTTGTTGATCTTGACAGTTTTAAAACAGTATAGGCCACGCCCACGCCCTGTGTGAATCCAAACTCATCAGTTATTTTTCTGATGTAAACAGATTCAAATTGTGGTTTTGTGTTACACTCACACAGTCTACAGTTACACCCTTATAATGGGGAGAAGAAAATGGAGGATTCCCTAGATCCCCCGGTTGACAGCTTGTCAAGGTGTCCCAGTGCTGTCCAGTGAGTAAAGATGACGGGTGTTAACGCCGCCACGAGCTGTCAGTGTGTGTCCGTCCATCGGGACAACATGGGGATTTAAGAAGAGAAGTGAAGCTGCAGTGTGTTCTGGTTTTAATGTTTTAATGTTCAGTTGGTTCATTTCTTAGTGATTTTGGTAATCACAGCAATCATTCATCCAGATGTGGTATTTAATTAATGTGGTTTCCTCGAGGTGTTGCTCTCCACCCATCTCACACGGCGTCGTCTTCGCCTCTGTGCCATCCTCATGTGTTCATCCCATCTCAGTCAGCTCTCGTCTCGTCACTGCAAGTGTCAGTGAAGGTGTGTGTGTGTGTGTGTGTGTGTGTGTGTGTGTGTGTGTGTGTGTGTGTGTATAGAGGTGGTGCGTCTCTCTCACATGGTGAACCCATGTGACGGGCTGAGAGGAGACGGGGGAAACCAACCGCTCTCTTCATCCGACACTGAAGATCTGAGGATGAGATGTTGCTGTTTGCATTTTGTTTGTTCTCTCCTCTTTGTTCCCAGTTGTTGTTGTTGTTGTTGTTGTTATTTGCATTTGTTTCAGCCCCTCACACACACCTTGGAAACTAGAGCAGACTGTGCTGTGTAAAAGAAAAAAGAAAAAAGAAGCCTTTGAACACTTTGCACGGCGCGAGTATTCTGACAAAATAAGTGCATCTGGTAAATGTGAAAAGCTTGTTTAATTCACGGCCTAATGGTGTGTGAATGCAGAACGGTAATATCATGTGCAGTATGAATGTGTGTGGAGTCCGCAGGCAGAGCTGAGGTGACTCACTGTGGAAGTGACTGCTGTTAAGTCCCCAAACACAATTAAGTGAGGTCATGGAAAAGCTGAGCTCTCTTTTTTTTTGCAATAATTTTTTTTTTTTTTGGGGGGGGGGGACGTCAGTCTCTCATCTTTCTCCTCTCTCTCCTCTGGCTTGCTTGTTGCCAGTATCCTCCTCAACTTTGCCCCTCTCTCATCTTGTTCCACCCTCTCTCCCCCTCGTCTCTTATCGTGGCTGAGAGGAAGCAGACGGGGATGGATGACTGAGGAAATTGAATCCTCTTTATCGCCGCTGTGCTCCTGCAGTGAGCCATGGACGTGCACGTGTCTGCTTCTCCTGCACCTAAAGATGCAGCTGTGCACGGATACTGCCCCTCTCACACGATCCTGCCGAGCTGACTTTGACATAGTGGTTCGCAATATCGCCTCGTTTATGATAATAATAATCATTCTCTCTTTTTTCCTCTCTCTCTCTCTCTCTCTCTCTCTCTCTGTAGCACTCAGACAAGCAACAGGAAGAGTCTGATCCTGACCACCACCTCGCCCACGCTGCCTCGCCCACACTCCCCTCTGCCCCTCCCTGGACACCTCGGTACGTTTCACACCTGAGTTACATGTTCTAACTCTCAACAAGGAAGTGAGTCAGCCCAAAATGTGGAGCTATTCCTTCAGCTAGCTGATGTAACACAAAGCTTCTGCAGATGTTGATCTGAAGTATCCGCTTGACTCAGTTTGATGTTTGACCTGGTTTTGGTTTCAGTTGCCAGGACTTGACTAAGGTGCTTGCAGGTCTCTGTGTTGGAGCTGCTGCCTTCAATTCCCTTGATTTTATTCATCTATGAAAAAGGCACCGACCAAATCTCTCAGCCCATTAATCAAAACGCCGTCATCACCATCCACAGAACAAAGCGGGACAAATAAACAAAGCATTCATCAGTCTAAAAATCAATGATAGGCCTTTATGGTTTGGAAAAAATTAAAAATCAATTTCACACCATTTTCCCCTCTCAGATCCCGCCCACTGATTGTGAAGAGTCAGATTGTCATATTGAACAGAATCAGTCAGCTTTAGTGCCGCACTTCAAAGGGAAAAGAGAAAACCATGGGAGGAAGATTTAAAACCTTTTTTCTTGGAGGTAATTTGGTCGCAAAATGAAACAGTTCGAATTTCCATTTGTCACATATTCCTCTCCCACATTTTTGTCTCTCTGTTAGAGAGCGAGCAGTCGAAGGACAAGTGCAGGTTTACTTAGAAAAAAAATGGGGTTTATTTTACCCAAAAACATGACAAACTAGAATCACCTCCTCGTGGTCGTATCCCTCCGCCACTCAGACTAGTTCCAGGTTACATCCCTGTTTATCCAGAGTCAGATAAAGGATGAACCGTTAGTGTGAAATTTTGTCATAATTGCTGTGTGAAGTCTTGAGCTATGGCTAAAAAGTGTTTCCTGAAGTCACCATGACTTTGACCTTTGACCTTTGACCTTTGACCATCAAAATCTAATCAGTTCATCCTTTAGTCCAGGGGAACGTTTGTGCCAAATTTGAAAGGATTCCCTTGAGTTCTGGAGATATTGTGTTCACAAAGGCCAAAATCCTGTGTTCTGAGGTCACGGCGACCTTGACCTTTGACCTTTAGCCACCAAAATCTAATCAGTTTGTCCTTGAGTCCAAGTGAACATTTGTACCAAATTTGAAGGTGTTACTGTGATATTGTGTCCACGAGAACGGGACAGACAACCTGAAAACAATATGGCCTCCGGCTCTGGAGGAATAAAAACAAAGAGCCTGGTAAAGATGTGGGGGGGGGGGGCGCTCTCTCTCTCTCTCTCTCTCTCTCTCTCCCCCTCTCTCTCTCTCGTGTCTCACCCTCTGTGTTTGTCTTCTTGTCCCACCAGGAAGCAGCCCTCTGGACAGCCCGCGAAACTTCTCTCCCAGCAACCCGGCACATTTCTCGTTCGCCTCCTCCAGAAGGTCACTGCTTTATATCACTACATATATTAACGTGACTTCATGTGTTTACTCTCACCTGTGTTTCTGTTAGAGCTGGGGGGGGGGGCAGAGCAGAGAGTGAGACGGGCAGAAGTCAAGTCAGCATGAGACAAGGGGAGGAGAGAGAACAAGTGAGCATCAGAGAACAGAGGAGGTGTGGATCTGTTGTCGTGCGAGGTCTCTCACATCCTGGGGAGCAGGGAGTAACAGGCTGACTCATGTATGACAGGGCCAAGCCATTACACTCACAGCACCTCTGTTTATTCATGCTGCTCTAGTCAGGTGGGCAGGAGGGGTGTGTGTGTGTGTGTGTGTGTGTGTGTGTGTGTGTGTGTGTGTGTGTGTGTGTGTGTGTGTGTGTGTGGACAGCTGGTCACGAACGTGTGCATCTGTTCATATGAAAGTGCTTGAGTTTATATGAGAAGGTTTTCAGGTTGCAGTATGTGCGCACCTCCGTCAACATACTACTGCGGTTTAGGCGAAGACCTCTTCTTCCACTGAAGGGAAATCTTGTTTTTACTTTATTTTTATTTTTGTTTGGAAAAACATACATTTCACAATGTTCATTTTACATAGCATCAATATTACTGCATATATTATAAACATACCCCAAGGTTTTATTTCAGACATGGAGGCAATTTGTATCTGACCTCTGGTGACCTTCAGAGGTCATTCTTTTGCCACATGTCTCCATTATAATCATGTATATCTTTTGCCAAAATTGCATTTTTGTTCTATTAAAGATGCTTATTTGCTGATATGGTCATGCAACATAATTTTGTTTAGAGCAACAGTTTTGCAGGGGGGACTACAGACCCCACTATATCCAGGTGTTAAGGTAGCTAAAGCCTGTTAAAAACACTGACACCTGCTGTATGTTCTATGACGAGCTAGCACGTTAGCGAACGCTCTAATCAGAAGCTAGCATGCTAGTTTGGTCTGGACAACACTCATCACTCCAGGTTGCTCTGCCCTCTCCCTGAGGTCAAAATAAACCTTAAATAAACTTCATGGATTATGAAAAAACTGGAGAAAGTTTCATGCTTTAGTCAAAACGTGCACAATAACTTTCCAATATACAAGCTCGTCTGCTGCACTAAAAAGTCTTTTAAAGCTGAATGATTTAATGCAGATTGTTTCTTTCATTTTATGAATCATGCTCACACAAAAAGGAAAAAGTTGAACACCCCCCCCCCCCCCCAGGCAGACACGGGGTGAGGAGCAGAGTCTCTGGTGTTCCTGTAAATCCTCTGTCCTCATTTATCAAATCCTCCTGGCTGCCTGTCACTGTGTGATCGCGGCACACAGAAGCACAATGAATGAGTCTTCTCTCCTCACTAAGAAAGGCTCCAGGGACAAACTAGATGTGTTATAAGTTATTGGTCTGCTGAATAACTTTTTTTTTTTTTTCTTTTAGTGCCGCTGAAATTGAGATGTGTTGGCGTATAGTCTGTGAAAATAGATTGTCAGGGTTTTGCATTACAGTGACATTTATTACCTCACAGGCATAAAAAAAAAAAAGAAAACCATAGGTATTTAAGACACGTAATGCAACAGTTTATATTAAGCCATAATGGCAAGATATATCACAATGGGCTTTTTATTTAATGGAGCATTTGTTTTCTCTGCAGAGCCGACGGACGGCGATGGTCTTTGGCATCTTTGCCCTCCTCTGGATATGGCACTAACACTCCCAGCTCAACGGTAAAAACCTTCACGCTCCTCCCAAGGTCTTACCTGTTCCCCAGGGGTAGTTCTGCTGTTGCCAGGAGATACACATGATCTCAAACAACTAAAAACATACAAACAATGATTTTATTAAAGAATATATCCACATCTAGATGTATTTAGGGAGATATTGGGCCCATATTTGAGTGCAATAGGTAGAGGTGATTGCCAAGACAACTGATATTTATTTTATTTTATTTATTTATTGTTACCTTACATCTTATATGTGCGAATCTTTGTGCTATATTTGCAATAAGCAGCTCATTGACCTTGAGAGTGCATGAAAATAAAACTAAAATAAAACTGAAGCTAAAATGTTAGCTAAAAGCCCCGGGTAAACAGTTAGCTAAAGGTTCAGCTTCTGCCACTCCAAATGGTAGTAAAATATAAATGCAAACTTGACCTTGAACTTGACATTGACAATGAAAAAGTCATTATTAGTGTTAAATAACATCCAGTTTATAATATATTAAAGGAGCTATCTGCCAGTTTTGCTATTGCTACATAGCTAACGTTAGCATTAGCAGCTAGTCTACAAGAAACGTGATTTCAGCATCAAACTTCATTCCTTTACTCACCAACATCTGCCTGCAGAGGTGGAAAGCAACACCAGTGTTAACTCTTGTTTCTATCAGGTCTTTTCCTCTACTGAGGTTAGCATGCTAACCAGCTAGCACCCCCCCGGCCGTCTCATCACGTCACTTTCTGATAGCAGCCTCCGATCTGTCCTGAAGACGTAGTGCTGCTCAGAGGACGTGTTATAACCTCTTGTATTTTAAACACCACAACAATCACCGCCGCTCACTCCCGGGAAGAAACCACGTACAGCGGCAGAGAAAATGTACAAATAGCCGCTTTAAATGGGAACAAATTTGTAAGATAATTGGTGGTGTTACTGTTTGAGTACATGCGCTCATCTGACTGTACAACAGACAAAAAGGTTGGGAGCCACTGACATAAATTACTGTAATTGGCGATGATGTAATCTCCAGAGCCTGCTTTCGCATCCGTTCTCATATTCTCACCATGTCAAGACATCGTTTCACTCCGCCCTCATTCTTTAGCGCTGTTGTTTGTTTGAGTATAAAGCAAGCTTCACCATCTGACACCATCTGACACACAAGGCATTTTTAACTCCATCCCTGTTCAGCGTGTTGTGTGTTTATTTTTTTTGTGTGTCTAGTTGCGTAACGGCGTCGTCAGAGGCCTGGTTCCTACTCTCCATCTGGCTGTGGATGGAGGGGTTAGATGGATGGAGGGAGGAGGACAGGAAAGGGAAAGCGATGAGAGGGTCATGAGAAATGTGGCGTAGAGAAGAGAAGCTGGCATGAGATGAAGCACATTATGTTCCACAGTAATTTAACCACGGGCTAAATGTATCCTGAGGCTATCATTAGAAACAAAAAGATATTTCACTGACATTAATTCTCAGACTTTTATGAATAGGACTGAAGTGTGGAGCACCAGTTCTTCCTTCAGGTCTGCTCCCTGAACAGAAACTGTCTGCTCCTGCTCCATTTAAAATAATCATCTCAAACATTTTCACACCAAAGAATCATTCATTGCTGAAATGAAACCTTGGAGCCATAACTGTTGAAGTTAACCAAACATTCACTTACTAACGACTGTCTTAGATTCGCTTTGTATTTAAGGAAAAACAAACAAGATAAATTAATTAATGCGCATTAGAGGCACTAGTAGGTGGATTTTGAAACCTTTGCCAGGCTAGCTATTTCCCCCTGTTTCTGGTTGTCATACAAAGCTAAGCTAACTAGCAGCTAGACCACACATTCTATCCCTAATTATTGTTCTTACATATTCTATCACCTCTCTTCACCGATGGTCAGATCCTTTTGCAAAGTGTTTGACACGTGTCTTTATTTATACTGTTCAACTCTTTTCACTTGCTCTTATTCATTTTATCGTCTTCAGACTCTTTGGCCTTCTCTTTCATCTGGTTTTATTTTTCTGAACCACTTTGTAACTTTGTTAAGAAAAGTGCTCTATAAATGAAGTTATTATTATAAACATTTTATGCCCTGGGTTTGTCCTCTGAGGCTAGAGACTGCCATCTCCATCTCACTGATTGGAGCTTGTTGGGACTGAATGTCGCCTGACAGGAAGCTCCATCAGGCACGACTCAGGGCTAAAAAACAAAACATCACAATGAGTGACAGTAATGCAAAATATAAAGTTGTATGTATTTCAGTCTTTCAGTTCTCAAGTTTTTCGCTGTATTTATTTTATTTTATCTTTTTTTTGTGGTTTGAGCAATAACCATTTTCATTACAGTATGTTATTTTAAGGGATCTATTATCTAACACCTAAACATAATTATTTCTGTTTCAAAGTACGTATTGTTTATCACCCCCGTATTTGACCTCAAAAGAATTACATTCATGTGAACCACTACACTAGTCACAGCTCTGGTGATGCTTTGTGGGAAACGTAGTTCAAAAACACGACAGCAGTGAGAAACTTTCCAAGACAGTGGATAGAGAAATACAAGCACAGAACCTTGACATACATGAAACAAAGAAAAATGAAGTCCTCCCGCTCTTCCAGCCGCCCTGTTAAATCTGATTGTCTCCGATCGATCTTTGGATTAGCAAAGTAAGTGGAGGAGGTCCAGGTCTCATTGCTTTGATGAAGGCAAATGAGGCGGTGAGACGAGGTTTGTCTGTGCAGATTCATGGGTCTGACCCTGAGGCCAACTGGACGACTGCATTAACATTTCAGCTTCACTGGGAACAAACAACTGTAATGTTAAAGATACTGTAATAGTTTAGCTTCCAGAGCATGACGTGCGTCGGATCTTGTCCTCCAGGTAGAAGCAGATAAATTAGGATCATGTGCAGGAATTCCTTCGTTTTCCTCGCACTTTTTTCTTTTCTCCACCTATACTAATATTTTTGTTCTCCATCCTCCTCCGCTCTCTCTCTCTCTCTCTCTCTCTCTCTCCTCGTGCCTCCCCCTCCTCTTCCTCTTCCTCTTCCTCTTCTTTTCGCTCCAGTCCTCCAGCTCCTCGCAGGAACGGCTGCACCAGCTGCCCTTCCAGCCCACCATGGACGAGCTCCACTTCTTATCCAAGCACTTTGGCAGCACCGAGAGCATCACAGACGACGATGGGGGCCGCTCCTCTCCTCACATGCGCCTGCGCTCCCGTAGTCTCAGGTCAGCAGCAGCAGCGCCCGTGAGATTAAACACCAGGACGATTTCCAAGCAGATTTACAGGGGTGGCCCCTGTTGATCTTGTTATTGCTTTTACATAACCTCCTCTTTAGTTTTCCTGTTTTAAAGTTGGACTATGTCACTTTTTACAGAAGAAATGACCTTTTTGTGGGTAAAAAGTATAAATAAAAAGTTTACCTTATCTGTGCTAATGTTAGCTAATGTTAGCTAACTTTAGGCAGATATTGTTATGTTACATTTTGCTGACTTTATACTTTTCTCTACTTGTGCTTCTGTTAGATGATGTTTTAGCATTTTCACGGGCATCACCTTTAATAACAGAACAGGTCTGTTAGCTTAACTCACTGATATTAGCTAGCATATGCTACTGGTCATACCAGACCGAGATGGCTGTAGCATCATCACACCTGCGTGTATTGAACTGAGCAATAGTTCGTTTTTCAATGTGTTTGTTATTTGTTCTTTCAAAAGTTACATACACTGACTTTAACAATAAACGTGTCTTGATATTTATAAACTACGAACTCTCTCTTTCTCAGCACAGTTCAGACACGCTGCTTTTCACACTGAGCATCTTTTTGACCTCATTCTATTATTTTCTGTTTTCACCTCCAGCCCCGGACGCTCCTCCTCCTGCTATGATAATGAGATAGTCATGATGAACCATGTGTATAAAGAGCGCTTTCCAAAGGTAACACACACACACACACACACACACACACACACACACACACACACACCCAGTTGTATGATAAACATCGTATTCCACAACAGTAAGCAAATCCTTAAGCCTACAGGGAATTAAACCGACTGTTCAATCCTCAATAACTATGACTAATCCCATAAAGTCGGAACTCAAATATTAGAAAAACAAAAAATAGAAATGGGATATAATTTATGATTAAATGTGTTCGGAGATTTGTGTGTATGAATGTTTGATATCATACATCGAAATACAGTAAAAAAAAAAAAAGGATCTATGGGGGCTGATAAACCAAAGCAAACGAGATTATGTGACACTGCTAAGCCCCGACATGTTCACCCTGTTTATTCACCACGCTCATTAAAGCTGCCACAGCTATGAAGAGTTAAACAAAAAGACATTCCCTCCTTTGACTCTTTTCTTTCTCCTTTTCCCTCTCTTGGCGGGCTGAGGTTGGTATCAAAAGGAAATGGGCTGAAAGCTTCCTCAGTGATAAAAATCAAGCCTGAGGAAATTGGGCATTATAGTTTGCCGCTCATCCGAGTTAAAAGCTCTTTTGGCTTCTTCTCACAGAAATCAAATGGAAGAAATGACATTGTAGTCAGTGTAAATCAGCAGAGCCACACTGTCGGGGTCCGCAGATGAAATTGCTTTCTGAACTTTCTGTCGCACTCTTCTAAAGAAATTCAGTCTTTTCTCTAAACATTATCTAAACTTATCGTCCCTCTCCTCTCACGCCGCCCACCGCCCTCTGCCCTCCGCCAGGCCACGGCGCAGATGGAAGGGAGGCTGGCCGAGTTCATCCAGGCTTTCTCTCCGGAAAATGTTCTTCCACTAGCTGATGGAGTCCTCAGCTTCATCCATCACCAGATAGCTGAGCTGTCCAGAGACTGCCTGGCCAAAGCCCGCGAGGGTCTCATCACCTCTGTCTACTTCTTTGAGCTGCAGCAGAATCTGGACAAGCTGCTTAATGACGTGAGTTAAAAAGATGTAATCCCAACGAACTTGACCTCTGACCTGAGTGACAACAGCTGATAACTTCATTTGAATCAGGGCCGGATATCAAACTGCAATACTTTCTCTTGTAGCAACTGAAATGTGCGTGTTGCACATTTCAGTTGCGTGGGAAAACGGTCAGGTAATGAAAAGCAGTACTGTCTGGTTAGTTTAGTGATTATTGTTGGCTTCATTTTTCAGCCTCGGAGGTTGAAGTTTGGGTCCGACCTCCGAGGCTGAAAAATGAAGTCAGCATGGGAGTAATGACCAGTCAAGTCTGACTCCAACAGGGAGTCAATCTCCATAGACTCCCATGTTAAAATGTCCGAACTTTACAGCAGAAATAAACATGTTTACAACCTGGTACAAAAAACGGTTTTGGTTTCTAGAGCTAATTTCCTCCTTCATGACAACTGTTTTATATAACTCACCTGGTTACATTTTATTAAGGCTTAAAGTTGCATGAATTTCCTCTAGGGGATAAATAAAGTATCTATCATCTATCTGTTATGTATAATTGAGGGCGTGGCCTCTTTGAGTGTTAGAGCCCCTCCTCTTTGCCCATATTTGGATCAGCTGGGAGTTCGGCTGAGTCAGGTTCTGCCAAGATGGCGACAGAGGAGCAGCTCTAAAACAGCTCCTTAGAAACCAAGACTACGTCCATCTTTATTTACAGTCTACGTTCAGACCACACCCACCTTCGATCGTCATTTTGATCTCAGCCCCTCCCACTTTAAAGTTTTTACACGGTGACAGAATCTGCCCACAGACAGACCTGCACAGCTCTCTTCTCCAACAGGCAGAGGTAAAACACAGACGCTTTAGTTCAACTACGTTGCGTTTAATTGAATTTGTTTGTAAGGCAGCGTCTGTGAAATGAGTCATAACCAAAGCAGACGCCAGACACGCGTCTGTCCTCTGCTGGTTGGGATGATGAGGAAGGGGTTAGTGATGCACAGATTCAGCTCAAGTCTTTATTTTTCAATCCAAACACATGATGCCTTCGGTGAGAGACGAGATGGAAACGGCAGCGGTAAATGGAGGCTAATTGTGCTCGTGATTTACTAGAGGAGATAACAGGTATCAGGGAGTCTCATCACCAACCTCATTTCGTCGGCTTGATTGGATCGCTGTGATTTCTGTGGGTCGCCTGGTTTGGGTTTGATTGTATCTGCCGTGCCGTTTCGTGATCAGATATTCTCACATCTTACAGCTTTGAACACTCGCTCTGTCTTTGTCGCGCCGTGCGTCTTTTTGTCTCACTTTTGACAGAATTTCTCAGTAACGCTAAATGTTAACGTATCATAACGTGTTTTCTCTCTCTCTCTCTCTCTCTCTCTCTCTCTCTCTCTCTCTCTCTCTCTCTCTCTGTCAGGCCTTTGAGCGTTCGGAGAGCAATGAGATGGCCTTCGTCACAGAGTTGGTGAAGAAGCTCCTCATCATCATCTCTCGGCCTGCCAGGCTTCTGGAGTGTCTGGTAAGATAACACACACACACACACACACACACACACACACACACACACACACACTTTTCAGTATTAACCGATACTGACAAAATTATTCCACAGTGTTCACGATCCTTCGTCACAGAACATTTCACAGTCCACGTCCCTCTCGTGACTTAAGACAAATTGATTTTCTTTAAATAAACATGAGCACACACACTCAGTTGTTAGCGTATTATAAGCACTTAAGCTCTCTGGCGTATTACACAGCAGGAGTACAAAATCAAAACAAGCAAATACTGATGTATAAGAGTCAGTCCGGTCTGTCCGGGTGGCGAAGACATTTGCATTTAGATTAAAATTTGCCCCGCCACAGTGCGACCAGGCAGCGGCCCCCTGCTGCTCGGCTGCCTTCCAGTCTGACTCAGACAGACCGTGACCATGGTGTCATTTAAAGTTGGAGGATACCAATGTGTGTGTGTCTGTGGCCCAGTGCGACTGTGTTTCATAACAGGGTATCAATCTTGTGCAACCCCCTCCCTCCTCGATGAGTCACCGCCCTGACAGGGTTTCTGATTATAAACGACAGCTGAAACAGTGACATGGAGAATTGATTCATCGGCCTAATTTTTTGTACATCACTGCATTCCTGATTATGGTGTGTGTGTGTGTGCGTGCGATTGCAGTTGCATGTTTTTGGCAGCGTTAGTGATCAGGTTTGGATCGACAGCCTGGAGTTGCATTAGTGGTGTAATGGGTGAAACTCTCCGCTGCAATACAACATGTCAGGTTTAATATCTGGCAAGGGCGTGAAGTCTTGGGCGCAGGGAAGGAGGCCGAGCACTGTGACGTATTCCTGAGGGAAACAGAAAGTGTGGGCACCATGAAGTTACAATTATTTAAATATTTAAGTAGTTTAGCAAATACAGCGCCGAGGAGGACTGATCACCAGCCGTTACTCCACCCTCACCCCTGTCGGATCAGGAGGAGAATGAGGAAGAACATGATGACTTAAATCTATTAGAACAATTTTTAACAACAACTAGCTACCAAAACTACAACCTGCAAGCTAAAGGTCAAGTGTGGCTTTATATTTATATAATAATAATAATAACAATAATAAACTTTATTTGTACAGCACTTGATGAGCTAAAAAGAAAAAGGATGAATCAAGTAAGAAAGCGGACAGAGACACAATAAAAATAGATTTAAAAAACTTTAATAACATTAACAAACAAAAAAAAACATGTAAGGAAATTAATAATAAAATAACTGATAAAATAGAATAAATTTGCAATTTTCAACATAGATACAATAAAATAATATACACAGGATGCAGCTCAAAGTGCTTTGACAAATATAAAAGGAGAAAGGGAGTTAAGACAGGAAATCGTTAAAGAAGAAGAATAACAATAACAAAAATAATTTAAAGGGGAAAAAATGTGAATAATGAATACAATGAAAAAAAGCAGGTGTGTTGTCAATTGTTTAAAAATGTCCCCCTCTAATATTTGGTAATGATATATGATAATCAGTGTTAGTCAGTCGACCCAAATCACCTTGGTCCTTATTATATTATATTATTATTATTATTATGTGAAAAAAGAATTGACACAGAATATATATATATATTTTTGCTCAAGTGAAATTATTCTTTGTGTTATAACTATTTTTATTCTACCTCACATGTTTGCTTAAGACTTCCCTATGTGATCTCCGTCAGCACAGGCTCAGAGTTATGGCACAAATATAAACCCACGCTCAGTTCCAGCTCTCCTGAGGAGGATGCTGTGTTTCCACCACCGGCTGTTTGTCTCTTTCGGACCCTGTTGCTCGGATCTTGTGATTTGGGCTGAACATAAATCTGTTAAAGTGTGGCTTTAAACGAACAGCACAGGCTGCAGTTATGGCGTCTTCCAGAAAAAAAAAAACAACTCCTGGAGCCGCTCCAGAGGCAGTGAATCATGAAACAACTCCCAGAGGCAGCCGGGGCGGGTTTTACAATTTTCTCATTTACATTCAAATCAACTTTGACGCGCAAAAATTCAATCAGCCCGCAGAATCTTAGAAGTTAATGTCATTAATTTAATGTTAATGGAGGAGCTCCAAACGTGTCCACCAGATTACATCATCGGTTCAAGTCTTAATTCCCTCGTTTCCAGGAGTTTAACCCCGAGGAGTTTTACCATCTGCTGGAGGCGGCAGAGGACCACGCCAAGGAGGGCCATCTGATGAAGACCGACATTCCTCGTTACATCATCAGCCAGCTGGGACTGACCAGAGACCCTATTGAAGGTGAGGGAGAGACAGGATCTCACATCTAACTTATAAAATGAGCTGAAATCAGAAATCAGCTGATTTAAACTGCCGTATGTTTGTCATCAGAGATGGTAAACCTCGACAGTTACGACAGCGAGGGGCCGCTGACGCCTGAAACCGATGACTCGACAGAGGTGAGACCCGAATTAATCCTCAATCCGGTCATTTCTCCACAGCTCAGTCCTTTTTCCACATTCATCCATCGTTTCCTTACCAGTAAAAGGCCCGGCCTGCCAAGGTCTTTGTTGATCTCACTGAAAATGTTTGCTTCATCTGCTAATGACTTGGCATACAAGCTTTTATCCATCTAATTTAGCTAATTTATGCTGAAGTAAAAAAGAAAACCCTTGAATCTCGGGGCCATCCCTCCATCTGCCAAAATGAAGCTAAGTCGACAAAAAAATTGATGAGAGGGAGGGAGGTATGGAGCGAACCTGAAGCAGCTGTACAGTTCTATGCATTTCTATAATTTCAGTGTGAATGTGGGGGGAAAAAAAAATCTGACTTTGTTGACACTTGTTAAGAGAAGATATTGATCATTTGTCAATGAGGAGGACCAACTTTTCTGACTGTGAAATGATCCACAGGGGAAGATCAGAGCAATGAAACCACCGGGAGAAGCAGACTTCCAGACCATCAAGCTCATCAGTAATGGAGCGTACGGGTAGGTAGAGCTTTGTCCTCTTTACTGTCGATGATTCATTTTCACATCTCAAAAATCAGGCATGGACACATTTTTTTGGACAAGCAACACACGGGCCACAGAGTGAAAATAACCTGTGCATCATGCATGTGCCTCTGTGTCCGTCAGCGCCGTGTACCTGGTGCGTCATCTCGAGACACGGCAGCGATTTGCCATGAAGAAGATCAACAAGCAAAACCTGATCCTGAGGAACCAAATCCAGCAGGCCTTTGTGGAAAGAGACATCCTCACGTTCGCAGAGAACCCTTTTGTCGTCTCCATGTTCTGCTCCTTCGAAACCCGCCGGCACCTCTGCATGGTCATGGAGTACGTAGAAGGTGAGAAGCGTGGAGGTGCATAAAGGTCGTACTGCTGCGGCCGACTTCACTCCGAACATAGTGCGAACAAGTTCACGTTTTCAACTTTAACTTATCTCTGAATTACAGGAAAATAAGTAGCACAGCCGTGAACGAGACTAAGAGCGTCCCAGATCCGTACTGCACATGAATGCTCAACAGATACACACTAGACATTATGCATTTTTCTGAACGTGTTGCCGATGGACACTGCTCTCCGACAATGCAATGCACAATAAGGAAATGGAGAAGCTGCTCTCAGGTGAAAGAAATCACAGTAAATCCTGGGTGGTGGGAAAACAGCTCCAACATGTTTCTCGCTCTTTGATTGGCACAGAAGTTGCAGTTTGATTGACATCTAATGTTGCAAATATTATTTCCTGTTAGTGTGAAATGATTATATTGATTTTACTAACTGCTGAAACAGTATATCATACCATTTAATATGTAGAACATACTGTATAGAATTAGTATGTAGTATGGATTTGGGACACAGCTTTTGCTAGCAGCTCCATAAGGCTTTGAGCTAAATGCTAACATCAGCATGCTAACGTGCCCACAGTCATAATATTAACATATTTATCACAGTCACCCTGTTAGCATATTAGCATGTTCCTGTTTTCCTAATTAGTATTAAACACAGGGAACAGTTTAATCATGAACCAGTTGGACAAATGGAAATTTTGACCCGATTATGCCGCTAGATGAAAAGTCAGAAGATTACCAAATCATTACAATTCACCCTGAGTGTGCGTCAGTGGTTATCAAATCAAAACATTTCACTTAAAAACCACAAATACAGAACATCACGGTGACGCTAGAGCATCACCGAAGTCACGTCTTATATCTTATTATAAGCCTAACCTATAGGTGACTGAGTGATCTGAGCCTTTGTGTGGACTGTTCGTATGTTATCTAAGACTGGTTGGTGAGTTGGGTGAATATATATATATATATATGAATGAGTAATAGTACAGTCATCAGAGTCCAGAGAATTGCAGTCAAGATTGCATTACTGTGTTTAGTTGTGCATGTTGCGTTCATCTAAATGGAAACTTAAATGGTCCGAGACAAGAGGTACCGGGAGATAATCACGGTAATTGCTAATGTCAGCAGCGAGACTAATCAAATAATGAATTCTGCTGTCAGGTGGAGACTGTGCCACTCTGCTGAAGAACATCGGGGCTCTGCCTGTGGAGATGGCACGCATGTACTTCGCAGAGACGGTGCTGGCGCTGGAGTACTTACACAACTATGGCATTGTACACCGTGACCTCAAGCCTGACAAGTAAGACGGAGTTAGTTTTCACCAAACTGTTGCAAAGGGATGATGCAAAATGTGGCAATGCGTTGCTTTCTTTCATCGCTGTTATATTGTTATTTCAAAACAGGATTTCCTGTATGTTAATCTTATGTAACTCAAACTTAACTTTGCTGTTTCTGTTTCTCAGCCTCTTGATTACCTCAATGGGTCACATCAAGCTGACAGACTTCGGTCTGTCAAAGATGGGTCTGATGAGTCTCACCACCAACTTATATGAGGGACACATAGAGAAGGATACTCGGGAGTTCCTGGATAAACAGGTATCACAAACACCTAATTCATCCTGATATTCTAATTCATTATGCAAATTTTACATAGACAGTTATTGAGGTAATTTAAATCTACCAACTGTTCTGATTGAGTAAATTTAAATGAGTTCAGCACATTATAACTTTAAAATGTGTCTCTTTGGCAGTATTACACTGCAGACAGTATGATCCAGGCAAAGTTGAAATATGAAAACGTCCTTTGATGTCTTAATTTCTATGCAAAGATATTCCCTCCCGCCATTATGTGCCAGGCATATCTGAAGCACGAAAAAATGAGGCCATTAACAGTTGGCAGAACAATAGGCCAGTATTTCCTCAGTTATTCTAATCATTTCTCTTTTCCGCTAGGTTTATTTTCTCAAGCCTTTCATTCTGTGCTCGTGCTTTGAATCTAAGCCTCATTGTTTCTTGTGTGTGCATTGTGCCAGCCAGAATTTAGCATTCAGCGCATTCCCATCTGCACATGAAAACACTCACCGGGGCCTTTCATCTTGTCTCGGCATCTCTAGAGTGATCTACTTAGTTACTTAGGCAGAAATACGCACGCTCCATTCACACGTGCCTCTCACTCCGGGTCAACCGTCTCCCTCTGTTATCATTTTATCATTTTTACTGTCGGTAGAAGTTTCCCCCATCGATACTTTACTGGTGGGTTTGGAATCATTTCAGTGTGAATTCAAGTGATTACAGAAGTGACTACAAAATACTGAAGATGAATTAGACGTGACGAAAATGTTATTAGTTGTAAAAGTGCACAAACCCTCAGGACTTGGTGTCATAAAGTCTAATGAATGAGTCTCTTTTAGGTGTGTGGAACCCCAGAGTACATCGCCCCTGAGGTTATTCTTCGTCAAGGTTATGGGAAGCCAGTGGACTGGTGGGCTATGGGCATCATCCTGTACGAGTTCCTGGTGGGCTGCGTGCCTTTCTTTGGAGACACTCCGGAGGAGCTGTTTGGACAGGTCATCACAGGTGAGGCATCAAAGTATCTTTAGGGTGGATAAATTAAACGCACTGTGCGCAGCTACTTCCTGTCCTTTACCTCCATTCTCTCACAAACTCTCACTTCTTTATCAATAATGCGTTTCCTCACGTTCTCCCCTCTGTCTCGTAGATGACATAGTGTGGCCAGAGGGGGACGAGGCTCTCCCCGTTGACGCCCAGCACCTGATCTCCTCCCTCCTGCAGACAAATCCAATGGTTCGACTGGGCACAGGTCAGTCAGTCACCTGGAGCGGTCGTTAACTCACTTTTTTTTCTTTTACCTCCACAGACCTGACAGTTTAACTCGTTTATCAAAGTCATCCATTAAGATCTAAATTCATTCATTTATCTATTACTTTTAGCTTTTTAAACTGTTCATAATTCACCTATACCTAATTAGCTAACTTGTTCAGCTATTTATACATTTCTTTTAGCAACTTCAAATATTCATCCATTACTTTAAGCTAACTATTTTAACTCTTTATCCGTTACCTTTATTTAATTAACCCATTACCTATTTAGCTAACGATGCCAACTGTTTATTCTTTACTTTTAGCAATCAATTGCAACTATTTATCATTATCCATTACTTTTAGCTAACTATGTCAACTGTTTATCTATTACTGTTAGCTATTTAAACTGTTTATAATTCACCCAAACCCAATTAGCTAACCACTTCAAATATTCATCCATTACTTTTAGCTAACTATTTTAACTATTTAGCCATAGCCATTACTTTTAGCTAACTAGTATATTTTAATCATTGATCCATTCGTATATGTTTGGACTCACTTGCTGGTTTTCACACACTCTCACTTTAGCATCTGGGGCTCAGCTGTTACAACTGACTCATTAGATGGTTATGTATTTTTTAATTAAATCATAATTTCTATTTATTTTTTTAATTAGTTGAGCTACTCGACAGTCCTTCCATGTTCCTTGGCAACTGCAGACATACACCCCCTGTGGTGCACGTACCCCTGGTCGGGAATGACTGACCTAGTCATCCCGAACGGTGGCTCACAGGTTCAGTCGTCTTCTGCCCGAGCCGGAGAGCCTTTACTTGCTTTAGGGCTGCAGATATTACCGGCCTGTCTTCATCCCCTGCTCTTTCTCTACATATACCTCTCTCCTCTTCCTCCCTCCGTCCCTTAGGTGGTGCTTTTGAAGTGAAGCAACACTCATTCTTCACCGAGGTGGACTGGAACAGCCTGCTGAGACAGAAGGCAGAGTTCATCCCTCACCTAGAGTCAGAGGAAGACACCAGTTATTTTGACAGTAAGTCTGCTTCTGGGAATGCAGGATGCTCTGGAAAAGTTTGATTCTGGGAACAGACCGCAGATTCCTCTCAGCTTAGGAAACTCTGAGTCATCAAAACAGCTCGGGGTCCTCTGGTTCTTTGCTCCATTTTTACCATGATAAACACTGTAAATGCAGAAAGGCAGATACTAGTCTAATGTGCATTTTTAGACCTGAATGTTCAGTTCAGCACGAGCAGGGGCGTCTGTCTGCGTTCGCAGCTTTTTTTCGGCGAAGCTCTCAGCGCACAGTGACTGCTTTTGTCTCGCTGAACACGAGCCAGTGTCAGCATCTCATAATGTGCATTAGTATAAAGAGTGAGATGAGCAGAAAGGAGCAAAGAGAGAAATACAAAGCAGCTGGTCTCTGATTTTAAAAGCTATCTCATTACTGTTCCTCATCAGCTCGCTCCGAGCGCTACCATCATGTGCATTCATATGATGAAGATGATACCAACGATGATGAGCCTGTGGAGATTCATCGCTTCTCATCCTGCTCCCCTCGCTTCAGCAAGGTCAGTCGCATTAAAACTGCCTCTCACTTCTTTCTGGTAATGTTTGAGGTGTGACAGCGGCGGCGGTCAGTCCACGTAACAACACAATCAGTGCCCGGAAAGTTTGACTAACCTGTTGTGTGGCCCTGAAGGTGTACAGCAGTATGGAGCATCTGTCCCAGCTGGAGCATAAACCCCACGGTGTGACTCTACGGGAGCACAAGGTCCCCAGGGAGGATCGAATGGCCAAAAGAGAAAGCCTGGGGAGTGTCACCCTCAGGGACAAGAGCTGGAGGACTGGATCTCCTGAGATGTGAGTGCGGCCTGCAGAAAGTAGAAAAAAGAAACAGTTGGAAATAAGGTCTGGTGTGTAATGGGAAGGATGTTGTGGGGTTAAATGATGCACACTGGCTGTATGGTGGTTCTTATCTTTTTCTTGTTTGTTTTGCTTTTCCAGGAAGCGCTTGTCCTGCTCCGAGTCCTCCTTCACTGAGAGTGAGTCCAGCCCACCGTCGGGGGCCCGAAGACGCTTCTCCGCCCTCATGGATACACACCGCTTGGCCTCCCCTCTGGAAGTCGACTCTGAGCTCCCTGTATCCAGCAGGCAGCCTCCAATGAAGGCAAGGGGAACGTCCCTGGAAGGAGCCATGGGTGCAGTCCCCTCTCAGGGCGACCTGAGAACATACCTGAAGGACAGCAACGGGCTCACGGCGGGAGGTAAGAAGGAACGAGGAAGCACAGCCTGAATTAACGATCTGTGACGAGGAGCATTTATTTACTGTCAGGTTCCACGTCTCTGCTGTGTCACAGAAAAGCTTCTGAGACCTGCGGACGCATCGTTGCCTTTACCTGGCAGTGCTGCAGTTCTGGGGCTTCCAGAGGCGCCGGCGCCCCGCGGGGCCGCCACTGACCTGGTGCTGCGGAGAGTTCGCCACCAGCAGCTGTCAGCCGAAGGAGAAAAACGTAGCTCACGACCAGGAACCAAAGTTATCAAATCTGCTTCTGCGACGGCTCTGTCCGTCATCATCCCTGCAGGTACAGGCACGTATCGTGTTGCATAAGCAAATGAACTGTAACAACCTAATCAATCTAATCCTGTAATGTAATTTTAACTCCGTCCCTCTCTCCTCAGTGGAGCAACATGGCGCCTCCCCTCTGGCGAGCCCCATGTCTCCTCGCTCCCTCTCGTCCAACCCCTCCTCCCGCGACTCTTCTCCCAGCAGAGACTACTCTCCGATGGTCAACGTCCTGCATTCCCCGATCACCATCCATCGCTCCGGGAAGAAGTACGGCTTCACCCTGCGAGCCATCAGAGTCTACATGGGAGACAGCGATGTCTACAGCGTGCATCACATGGTCTGGGTGAGAGAGCGGAGCTTACAGTGTGCAGAGTTCTCGATGTATCGCGCCTTTCATACATACAAGGAGGTTCAAATTCTATGAAAACATGTAAACAATTCAAAAATGTGTAAACACAAATGTGAAACTCAATAAAACAAGTTAGAGTAATACGAGCATCTGCTGCTCAGGCGGTGAAGGGCAGGAACGGCATGTGCACTGGAAAAGGGGAGTGGACCGAGTTCTGAACCCGTCAGAGTTTTGACACGGCGTTTCTGTCTGAATCTGTTTCATCAATTTATTTGTTCCAAACGCAGCATGTGGAGGACGGAGGCCCCGCCCAGGAAGCTGGACTCAGGGCCGGGGACCTGATCACTCACGTAAATGGGGAGTCAGTCCACGGTCTGGTCCACACAGAGGTGGTGGAGCTCATCCTGAAGGTGACACCTATCTATCTATCTATCTATCTATCTATCTATCTATCTATCTATCTATCTATCCATCTATCCATCTATCTATCAAATTTATATTTACATTTTAAGATTTAAAGTTGTTCAGATAAAATGTGTCAACAAAATAATATGGTTCACATACATAAATATAATCTACAGAGTGGAAACAAGGTGACAGTTACAACTACTCCCTTTGAGAACACTTCTATAAAAGTGGGTCCCGCCCGCAAGTCCAGCTATAAATCCAAGATGGCGCGACGCAGCAAGAGGACAGGGGCCAAGGAGGGGCAGGAGTGAGTTACTGCAAAACAGATGCACTTCATTACACAGGACCACACACTCCTCTGTGTTTCCCAAGCATTTAATCTCCTCATTATATCTTTTATTTTGTCTCTCAGTAAGAAGCGCAGCTCCCTGTTCAGAAAAATCACCAAGCAGTCCAACCTGCTCCACACCAGCCGAAGCCTCTCCTCTTTAAATCGCTCGCTGTCGTCTGGGGACAGTCTCCCGGGCTCGCCCACCCACAGCCTCTCCGCCCGCTCGCCCACTCAGACTTACCGCTCCACCCTTGAATCCCCTTACCTGGGTGAGTATAAAAGGCCAATCACTTAATTGCGGTGATATGTTTAAGAACAAAGAAACATGAGCCGCATTAAAGGCTCTGATATCTTCTGTGTGTGTTAGATGTTTTAAAGAGTTTAAAGTTTCTGACCACAAGTAGAGCTATAGACCAAAGTTTTTGCTCTATTTCACTGTCGTCTGAGGTCTGAAGTTCTGTTTCCGCTGCTCTGTTACTCTCCTCTGTGTTTCTGGACGTATAAAAAGAGTCTATAAGCTCATAATTCTACTGTGAGAAGTTTAATCCCTAACAGCACAGAAATTATTGTAATTGAAGAGTTAATTCTCTCTAATCTCCTCAGGCACCTCCTCCCAGAGCAGCTCCCCGGCATCCAGCACCCCGAACTCCCCGGCAGCCTCTCACCACATGAGGCCCAGCTCCCTGCACGGCCTCTCTCCCAAACTCCACCGCCAGTACCGCTCTGCACGCTGCAAGTCTGCCGGCAACATCCCTCTGTCCCCTCTGGCTCACACTCCCTCCCCGACCACCTCCTCTCCTCCGCCTCTCACCGGCCACACGGTAGGAAGCTCCAACACCACGCAGATGTTTCCCGCCAAGCTGCACTCCTCGCCTCCTGTTTCCCGCCCTCGTCCCAAGAGCGCGGAGCCGCCCAGGTCCCCCCTGCTGCAGCGGGTGCAGTCGGCGGAGAAGCTAGGAGCGCCGATTCTGCCTTCCTCCTCTTCTTCGTCATCCTCACCTTCTCCTCTGACAGGCGGGGTGTCGTTGCGCAAGCATAGCCTGGAGGTGACGCATGGGGACTACAGGAGAGAGTCTTTCCACTGTGAGCACAGTCTACAGAGTCTGTTGGAGATGGAGGGAGAGAACGGACCTGCCCCTCCATCTCCTTCATCATCTTCCTCCCCTTCTCCTCCCATGGGAGGGGACATTGGAGGCCTGAAGCCAGTGAGGAGGCTGGGAAGGCAGGAGTCGCCGCTCAGCCGTGACACACTGCTCACATCAAGAGAGAAAGATACGCAAACCACCGCACCTGAGGCGCAAACTGAGAGTGTAGCTACTAAAGCTGCGTCCAAGACCAGCGCTGTTGACACGAGTAAAACATTATCCACTGCTGAGGTCCTAAAGAGTAACGTGAGTGCAGCCGCAGTGGAGACCAAGACTCGTCCAGCGCCGGTCTCATCCACTACACAGACCAAGCCGAGCCCCGGGGACAAACTTCCAAATGGAGGTGCTTCAAGTTCTGAGGCAACGGCGTCCAAGAGTAAACTCAGCGAGAAAATCTCAGCTCCGGGACCATCGAAGGGCGTCCAACAACAAGAGAGTAAGCAGCAGAGCGCACAGACGGTCAGTGGCGCTGCAACCGGAGCTCCGGAGAAGACTGAGGAGAAAGTCAAAGGCGCTGCAGCTGCAGACAAAGGTTACGTGCAGAAAGCTTCATCTTCAGAGCAGTCCAAGCAACGAAAAGGCACGGAGACGGGAGAGAGAGGAGGCGTCAGTGGCACCGATAAAGCAGCTGAGACGACCAAGGTCAAAGGTCCTGCACCCCCTGTTCCAACCCAGGCTCAGACCCACACCGCAGCTCATGCGCCAGCTGCTGCCAGATCCAAAGCGGAGAAGGTGTCAAGCAGTTACCGTGGGGCCAAAGAGGAGAGGGCACACTTGGAAGTCCTGGAGGAGAACCCCATGTCACCCTCCTCTAATGCGGCCTCGCCCTGCTCAAGCAAGTCTCGCCCCATGTCTCCGGGGGATAAAGCCAGCTTCGTCACCCAGCTCACGAGCGTGGCCAAAACAGTGCTCGGGCCGATAAAGGGAGCGTCACAACAGGAGGGAGCCAAGGCCAAAGACACCACCAAGTCGAGCGAGGAGAAGCGAGGAAGCGCAGCAGGAAAAGCAGAGGCTTCGTTCGTGGGCGGACGTCGGGGGGCTCAGACGGCAACCTCAGCCGGCGCCGGCACAGTCCCGTCTGATAAAGGAACCGGTCGGAGCTCGAAGCATCATTCGTGATGAGAGAGCTCCAGAAAGAGTCAGACTCTCCCATGTAATGCCTTTTACTGTAGCGTCGCACTGACATATCATGAATTAACATGACTTTGAATGAAAGGGAGACATAAATAAATGCCTGAAGAAATAACACCAAATAGATGACATGTGACATGTAGACACATAAGATGTGAACAAAGATGCATCAGCTTCTGTTGGAAGACGTGTGCACATGGTATCATAATGTAGGCCTGTGTATGTGCTGTACGTTCATCACGATGTGTTGTACATAGTGGAAAAAAAAAAAGAAAAAAAAAAAGCATATGTCTTAATGCATGTCTTACATTGTACATGGGAAATGAAAGAATATTTAAAAAGAAGGTGAAAAATATAAAGCAGACCTAAAGGTAGAGAAACACTGTGAACAACAATTTCGACAGACCACGTCAACAAGCAGGATTCTGTTATAAAAATGGGCATTACTCATATTTCAGATCAGCTCCAGTGCCATCATTTAGCTCATATATCTATATATACGACACAGTACAACATGTGTTTCCTTACAGTTCAGTTACTAAAAGGGATCAGGCGTGGAAGGATTAGTCTTGTATCACGTAGCGAAGAACAAACTGCACCAAGATACCAAAACGCTTGCAGTGACGGAATTAGATGGTGAATCAGCTGGTTTGCCTCAGATCTGTTTAAGGGCTGAATTTCAGTGGGATTGAAAGAGGTAGATTAGATGAACTTGCACAGGGACACTATGCAATGTGCTAACGATTTTTTATTTTATTTTATTTATTTTTTTGGTGTCCCCAAATTACTAAGTTTACATTGTGCTCAAAGGCAAGAAGAAAAGATGGAGGAAAAAGGTTGCAATAAGCCAAGCAAACGCATTTTGTTTTAAAAGTTGTCTCTATTGATCGTAGTGAAATGTGCAATTATACTGTATATTTTAGGCTGTTACGTGAAAACATTAGCGTGTTCAGAGTCTGGTATAAGGAGACAAAGTGTGTGACGAACCATGATGAAAGTAGCACTCACAGCAGAGTAGGCTAGACATGCTCTTTCACTCACTCTTTTCTATTTATGCAGAAGAACAGTTTATTGTGTAATGTTACGTGTGAAGGAAAGTGCCAGTGTTTTTATTTAGAGATAATGTGATTTTTTTTTTTCTGTTTTTTTTTGTTTGTTTGTTTACACTTTAATGTATAATAATATGCAATCCATCAGTGCCGAGCAACTGAGCACCCTAGTCAGTGATACTGTAGTAGACTACACAAAGCCAGGAGTAGATTTGTTGAGAGCATCATAGTGCTGAGGTCGTGTTTGTTCTTGTGTATTACAGCAAAAAATCCTCTTGATAGTTTTTGGGACCCCAGGCTCAGAGCTGTCTCAGACTGCCACCTTGTGGGCGACATCACATGACACCAAAAGCCCTGAGGCGCGACGACAGATAGGTGTATGTATGTGTAAGTCTGATATCTCCTGCCTGCGGATCGTTCCATTTCCTACATTGTGAGTCTGATGCATAATTATTCTGTTGATGAACACGTTTAAAAAGTCTTTATCCATTATGATGTAGTGGTTTAAACCGACATGAACCCGATGTTTGGACATTAAACGCCAGTGTTTTTTGTGTGTGATGTGAGGAAATTGCACTTTATTTTGTGTCAGATACTTTTATTTACTTATATATTTATTTTGTAATTTTTCTATTTGTTGTATTTATTAAACTTTTTTTATTTATTCCACTGTTTTCACATCAGTTAGTGAATTTCTGCTTTACTACGGAAATTAGTTACTGATGAATTTCACATCTAGACTGAGAAATCTACCGAGTCTGTGAGGCTGTGCAGTTTGGACTCATTCCATAAGTCTGAAGTTATAATATTGCTGTCATGTCCATCTTTGTCCAAGTGTTAGACTTTTTTTTACAACAACTATCTGTGACTGTTGTTGTTCATTCCATTGCTACATATTTACTAGCCACCGTTGTAAAAAACTGATGCAAAAAAGCCTATAGTGCAGAAATGTAATAAAATGCAGCAAAACCCTTCGTTTTATTTGACTTCTTCAAGGTAAAAACTACATTTTTTTTAATTGAAAAAATAAGAACGAACAAAGGCAGGGGTTATGACAGGAGTAATACATTACAATGACATCACAGCAGACAAGAATATTACATAAAAATATTAAACAGAGCACAAGCTGCATTGTTTGGATGTAGTGTTCGTAATCTATTTTAAATACAAAGAAAGATAGCCAGTCATTGGCTCTAACAGAATAATAATTAGTCAAACATATAATGTATGTTGATTAATAAATGAACTGACATCTTCAAAGACAGGTCTATAATAAATTATCTAAACCTAACTCGGCCATTTTGAAATCTTGATATATTTTATGTTCAAATCGGAAATTTTTTCTACATTATCCTTAGCTATCCTGGTTTAGAAAATATGTAAATGGACTTAAAATTTCAAATTGAAGTTGATATTTAAAATCTAGTTCTAAGACCTTAAGTTTATATTGTGGTTATTTGTTCTGTTTTATGAAATTGCTTTCATTTTTCTTTGTGCCAAGTAATATCTTAGGCAAGGTCATATTACTCCATCACATAAGCACCGTAACAGTGCAACCAACATTTATTTTCATTATCAATATGTCTGACCATTATTTTCTTTAAGAATTGATTGAGTGTTCAGTCTATAAAACATCAGAAAACAGTGGGACAATGCTCACCATTAATCCTTACATCCTAAATGAACCTGCTCAAATTACTTTTCTTGTCTGAAAGTCAAAACACAAAGATGTTGCATTTACTGTCATAGAAAACTGGCAAAACTTACACTTGAGAAACTGATGCCAGTGAAAAATTATGACAGACGCAATCAATCCATTATCAAAACTGTTGCCAATTAATTTTCTGTCAACCAAATAATCATCTCAGCTCTGGACTACTGGTTGGTTTGGTGCCAGGGGGAGTAATCATAGACTCTTTATTAAAAGTGTAATGAGGGTCAGTTGGGGCCAAACATTAGATTTTTCCCTCAGGCTCTTCCTATCAGCTTAATGTTGTTCATGTAAGTTCATTAACATAGATTTTGATGAAGTAAAAACATCATGGGGATAAAATAAAATGAACATCCTTAAGGAGAACCGGGGGCTCGCGCTCATTGGTCCTCTGTTGACCAATCAGAGCGCCGCCCATACGTAAGAAGTATAAACAGGAAGTGAGAGCAGATTCACCGCTCCGCTCCCTCACGAAGCTCGAGCTCGGGCCGTTTGATGCCAACAAGGGAGAAATAGACGGAAATCTGCGGCGAAATCCATTCAGTCAGTCGCTCGAAGTTAAAGAAGACACAGTAACGATGCCTGAATGAAGGTAAATGATGAATTTCACACCTTTTAATCGTTTGGCTGCGCGTGCACGAGCTGCGAAGTTACAAGAGTTTAGACGTTGAGTTCAATTCAAATCTGTGGTTTGAAATGTGCCGTTTATGTTTTTGCAGGACGTCACCGTTCGTGTAATTGCGTTGTTTACTAACACGTTTGTGTGTCAGTAAGTTAGCAAATCTTATGTTTGATAGATATATAATAACGTAGTATAAATGCAGTATTTGATTTTAAATGAATGTAATTATATGAAGGTTGTTTGTCGAAAAAAATTATACATGTCCACTTTGTGTTATTTTATGCAACCAGCAATTAGTGTTAGTGTTTTTAAATGAGGAAGTGATTAACATAAATGTCGCTTGTATTTCCTGTCAGCACTAAATCGAGTTTTTTTTGTATGAGTTTAATTATAAAACAGCTACATACATTTTGTGTTATGGATTTGTCTAATATTATTTTTCACATATGTTTTTGGTACAGTGTCTGCAAACAAAAGAACATTTCACCTCAGAGCATCTAAGTTTCCAAATAAAACTTGAGGCTAAATGTATTTCACCAAAAAAAGCAAATATTAGCAAGAAGACCAAAAACGTGTGTATAAGTTTATTTAGCAGAACTTTGTTTTAGCGTCTGAAATATCTCATGACCCCTCAGATTTATCTTGTGACCCTTTGTATTGACTGACCCCCCTCTACTAAAGTACTGACCTGAACATAAAGTATTTAGAGGTAGCTCCACCTCCACCAGCTGCAACAGTAAAATGCTGTTTACACACTGATGTGTCACTATTAACAATCTGTTATGATAAGATTTCACTCACATGAGGCATTTTTGTGCAGATACTTTTGATACTTGAAGTAGATTATTGCTGATGATACTTGTGTACTTTTACTTGTGTAGATTTTTGAATGCATTTATTACAATAGAACTTTTACCTAAGTAAAGGATCTGAGCACTTCCTCCTGTGTAACTGTGCACATGGTGTCACTGAGTGTGTGACTGCTGCCACGCTGTGTGGCATCAGTGAGATGTTTTAGAGGGAGCAGGAGTAGGACACCAGCACCTCTCCTGCACCAGCTAAACTGACATTTCTGAAATTCCTGGAGTCACAGGGTGCAGTCACATGGTCTAACTCTTTACTTACTGTCATGGGAAATTATTGTCTTTGCTGTGCTTAACATTAACCCATCAGTTCCAGGGGCAGATCTTGTTTGTTTCAAGGCGACATAATGTGATTTACTGGATGGCTGCACCATCCGTGGCTGCTTGAGTCACATGTATACAGCGAGAATCAGCCTGTGTGGTTTTATTGTATTGGGGTTTTATGTTGCCACTGTGTCTGCGCAGGCTGCCATGGAGTTAAGGAGCAATTCTCCTCGCTCAGTCTTGGTCATTTCCAGTTGCTATGAATCCCAGCCCCTCCCCGGCTGGCTGTGAGGGCCAGTCTCCTACAGACGACCTAATGGACGACTGGCTCTTCCTCTCCTCTGAATCTGCCGGGCCTCAGGTCCAAGAAGTGAGCAGGGACGACCAGGAGGCAGAGGACAGAAGCAAACTCAGATCCAAGTTGGTCTCAGCATGGAACAGTGTTAAATACGGTCAGTTTGATCTTTCTCATTGTTATATATTGTTTTCCGTGTAATAAAAGCAGTTCTCTTTTCTGTTCTCTTTGTCATGTGAGATTAAACAGTTTCTCTACTCTCTTTAATGCATCAGGCTGGTCCTTGAAGCAGAAATCCAAATTCAGCAGGAGCTCTCCTGTGATCATGCTGGGAAACTCCTACGAGCTCAAGGATCAAGGTGAGGCCTTGAGCGTTCGGCCCTCTCACCTCCTAAAATTATCTCATTCATGTGATTTCTAAAAGCAAGGAGGACGTTTTTCATTCAAGCTCTGTAATTGTGTCAGGGGAGAGAGCGCGTTTCCGTGGCAGCTTCGTGTCCCTCCTGTGGCTGACCTACAGACGGGGGTTCCCGCCGCTGGCCAGCAGCTCTCTGACCACCGACAGCGGCTGGGGTTGTGTTCTACGTACGGGGCAGATGCTGCTGGCACAAGGCCTCCTCCTACACCTGATGCCACCAGGTGACAACACACACCAACACACTGCATTGTCAAATATGTAGTCCACTAAATTACTAATGGGGAAAAAAATGAATTTCCCTTTCTACTAATTAAATAACAATAACACGTACAGACTTGAAGTAGCAAAGGCTGTGCTCAGTTACAGGATATTTGTTCCACCCACCGCTGCATGACAAATTGTACACAAGAACAATAAGAACAATGGTAAACAGATTTTAGCTGTAGCAACAAACAATACTCATGTTACTTTATGGTTTGATCACGTTGAGGTTGGACTTGGTCTGTGAGCCACCACGTGGTCAAAGACGACATGGACCTAGAGAGTCGCCCTGCAGACAGTGGACGGAGTTTCAAGCAAAGGCCTAATAAGAGGGGGCGGAAGCTGAGCTTGGGCTCCCTCCTGGACAGACCCATGGAGGCGACGCACAGGAGGGTGGTATCATGGTTCGCAGACTACCCCACAGCTCCTTTTGGGATACATCAGCTGGTAGAATTGGGCAAAAGCTCAGGGAAGAAAGCCGGGGACTGGTACGGTCCTTCCATTGCGGCACACATCCTCCAGTGAGACCTGAAGCCATAACATACCAGCACAATTATCCCAACCGGCTTTCATCAGGACGTAACGGTAAACATCTCTTTGTTTCAGGAAAGCTGTGGCAGCATCTGCAGACCTTCCCAATCTGGTCGTGTATGTTGCACAGGATTGCACCAGTGAGTGAATTCTATGATCGCTGTCTTTGCTCTGTGTTGAGAGGAGAGGTGAGCGTTAACCCGCTCTGCTTTTGTTCTTGAGGAGATGAGAGGATTCAGTGAAGCATGTCTGTGTGCCTCTGTCTTTGTGCTCAGTCTACTTGGAGGATGTGAAGAGGTTGTGTGAGCGGCCTCTCCCTCAGTCCTGGAAGTCAGTCATCATCCTGGTTCCTGTGCGACTTGGAGGACAAGAACTCAATCCTGCCTACATCACCTGCGTCAAAGTATCCAAACTATATATTTATGCATTCACCGCTCTGCATTTTGGGTAAATTCTGTAGCTTGCGGGGAAACGTTAAAGACCAGTGGCTCTAAAAACGGGTTCCTTATGAGGGTTCCAGGGAGTTCCCAGCAAAAGCAGTGCAGCATCACTATTATTTACTCTCAAGTAAGTCATTGGAGAGTTTCTAACCACAGGTTTGTTCCCGCTGCGTACACTGTGGTTGCACAGTTGTTAGAGAAGTCACCGCTCCAAAGCACAGAACAAGCAAAAATGACTGTGTTGTATGTACAAACAACAACAACAAACCATTCTTTGTCTTTCTTTTGTTTTGTTTTTTGTTCATAGAAACTCTTGATGTTACAATGCTGCATCGGAATCATCGGGGGCAAACCAAAGCACTCTTTGTTCTTCGTCGGCTTCCAAGGTATGTGCAGTGCAGTGCAGCGCGGCGCAGTGCAGTGCAGCGAGTGCAGTGCAGTGCAGCGCAGTGCAGTGCACATCATAATTATTGTGACCAGCTGTCTGATGTCAGTCCTTCCACTCTCTTTTTTTATTGTCGTTCTCTTTGCCCTGCTGTGTGACAGATGACCACCTGCTGTACTTGGACCCTCACTACTGTCAGCCCACAGTGGACATAACAAAGGAGAACTTTCCCTTGGAGGTATGAGGAAGTAACTTTTCTCTTCTTCTTTTTTGCTATTTGTTGTGTTTCGACCTGTCACAGCTGTGCTCAGTCATGTAAACCAGTCGTCCCCAACATTTTTTTTTCCAGACGTATCCCAACAGCCCCACACAAAGTGACCCCCCCCCCCCCCCCCCCCCCGAGTGAATATTCATAAGATATTCAAATTAGTTGACTTACTCCACAGGCTTCCTGTGTGCTCCCTGGGGTACAAGTACTTCTGTAAACGCTGACAGTGTAAATGTAATGATGACATCCGCATCAGAACGTACAGTAGAAATATTTACTCTGAACTCCAGTGATTTAGTGTTCTCTTCCTCCACTTCCTCTCTCCACCACTTGCAGTCATTTCACTGTAAATATCCCAGGAAGATGGCTGTCTCTCGCATGGACCCCAGCTGTACCATAGGATTCTATGCCAAAGGCCAAAAGGACTTTGATTCATTGTGCACGGCTGTTAATGAGGTATGTGAATGGGGTGTTTGGGTCTCTATTCATGGAGGTGGTGTGTAGCTTTTGGATCATATAGTAAGTATTTGATACCACTTAACAAAATGACATAAACTGAATTTGTAGGACTTGATCTGGATTCCGCCTCTTTCTCCCGTAGGCTCTCTCCACATCTGCACAGACGTACCCCATGTTTATATTTGCAGAGGGACACGGTCAGGAGGAAGAGCGAAGCAATACACCCACAAACAACATCACCTACATCCAGAGGAAGAGCGACCGGAGAAGAGTCGACACTAGCAACAGCATGGACGAGTTTGTTCTATTATGAACAGAAAGAGATAAAAGTTTTGCCCTGAGGGGCGTTCAATGATCAATGATCAATGATCGCATATAAACGTGACAGTTATACTGTGGCAACTACTGAGCGTAAGAACAATGTCTTCAACGTTCATAATGTTTTGTGCTCATTTGTATTTTTTATTTATTGTTTTAAAAGGAATATTTAAATTAATATTCAATTGAAGGACTGATGAAGAAGTTAAAAAATGAAAGTTGAAGGATGGTTACTCTTGATTGTCATCTCAAACTATTTCTATTTATTTATCGATAATCCATATTTATCCATAAAATCTATGGGATCATGTTCTTTTTACTTGATCTATTCAAATCAATAAAATATAATGATAATAATAATAATAATAATAATGATAATAATAATGATAATGATAATAATAAATGTCTGTCAGAGACAAACTTTAGTTACTATGAGATACACAGCCTCTTACGGTTTCATGTCATGAGACAGGATGTGCTGCCTTTGAACAAATTAGAAAATTGGATTCCTGTTACGTGAATCGTACATGAACAACACCGAAGGAAGTCGACATTAGAATTAGTCAAATGTTGTGAATCTCCTCTGGCAAGAAAAGGACAAAATTTACTGAAAATATTCTTATTAGCTGGGTTCTTTTTGCTGTCTTTTTTCTGAATAAACAGTTTATGAACAACAAGGGGACTTATTTATGATTCTGTACACCTTTATTAAAACATGCAGCGAGGAGTTTGTTGAGGAACTGTATAATGATTATTGGGGTGTGGGGTATAGTCTTATATTTTATTCTATAAAAAAGACGACTGTGATACTGAAGTTCAGGCAGCGCGTGGCGCAGACAGAATCGGTCAGGTTCCCCTGTAGCTGATAAGATGGTGACTGAATCTGTCTGCCCGGGTCTCCATCTTCCTGGCCCCACATTTCTGCCAGACCCTCAGCAGACCCCCCTCTCTGTCCAGCCTCTCCAGCCCACACTGCTCTGCCTTCTCCCAGGACAACTGGAGGAAAAAGTCACAGAGCAACACGTTCAGACTGTTCCAGGCCCGTACCCTGGCTTTGGTTATGTCGTCCAGCAAAGTGACATCCTGTGCGGAGCGAGTGTCGAGGCGGATGTAGTTCCTCTAGCTCCAGCTTCAGCAGGGCCCCCAGGAGGACCTGGGACTCATCAAAGTGCTCTGTGATCGTAACCAGCTGGAAGATCTCCTCCAGCAGAGTCAGGTCAGCCGGTCAGGAGGGGCTCCACTGCAGGCTGTCGAGACCTGAATCTGAGCTCCCAGGGTTCTCTGTTGGTGCCGTTCTCAGGCTCTTTAGGGTCCCAGAATGTCTCCGGTGACTCCAGGAAAACCAACAGTGCTGATTTGTGCTCTGCTGTCTCTTTGTGTAATAAGGGAAAGCGAATGCGACTCTGTCCCTCTCTCCCATGCAAAACAGCAGATTCTTGACAGTGCTGCTTCCTGTCTTGTGGGATTTGAGGAAAACAACCGTAGTGTGTGTGTTTCTCCTCAGTAAATGACAAAGACTGGCCTCCTTTTGAGCCTGTGCACTGGAGGACTGAGTGTCAGTTCTGCAGTTTTGGTATCGGTTTTTAGGTCTTTGCTTGGCACTGGTAGGTAGAGGGCTTTGAAAAGGATTTACAAGGATTTTACAAAATAATGAAATATTATATAATTCAGAATTGTTTCCTCAGTGAAATGATAATTGGATTTTGTAGACTCGTTGTTACTCCTGTACAGTTGCTGCATGAATGAAAGACAAAACGGGGAGGCTACAGAAGACTGGGAGGACTGTGCACATGTACACAGCAGTATAACTGAAGACTGAGGTATGCAAAGGAGAAACTACATCCTGCTTCTCACCTTGAACATTGCAACAAAGAAGTATGAGCAGAAAACGGCACCACCCTGAGACCTGCTACACAATGTCTCCAAAGCAGTGGAGGGACATTCTTCTTTGCCTTCTGGTTGTTTCCTTTCTATCAACATACTGATGGAGAGCTCTTCAACATGGGACTCAGCATGTGGCTTACAGACACGGACATGACCTCACATTCATTAAGCTTATCAGTCACATGTCAAAGGGCTCCCAACATGCAGCAGTCATTTATCATGCAAAACTATGTAGAGACTTAAAAACAGGCTGCATGATATTCCTAATGATGACAGAAGCTTTTGTGTGTGTGCTGTTTGCAGGCATGCTGTGCACATACGCATTCAACCTTTCCATTAAGGTGATAAATACTATAATAATAGCTTTATGGCCGTATTTCTGCTGGTACATGTAAGTAAATCATAACAATGTATATCCCACATTCAAGTCTATCAAAGGTAACATAAAAGGCTATTCTTTGTTGTTGATGATAAAATAAATGATTAAAAGTCTGTACACTTAAATACTGAAATTGAATAAGTTCATTAATTAATTAGTCAACTGACTGGTTTGATTAGCTTACTCTTTAGTTTATTATTTAAGCAAAAATGCCAAAGATTTTCTGGTCCCTGATTCTTAAAAGTAAAAGATTCCCTTGTTTTCTTTTTCCTTTCTTCCTTTTCTCTTTCTTATATATGAAACATTTGTTTGAATAAAAGGTTTTTATATACAGTCTATGAATAAAACTATTTTTTTTTTGAAGAGGGTTCTTTGGTTTTGGGAAATTGATGGGAATTTTTTCACTAAATGTCTGCCTATTCTTTTTTTTTTTATATCAAACGATCAGTCTTTATTAATCTACAAAGTAGATCAGTAATAAAAATAATTAAATACAGACCAGGTATTTAATAATTAGTGGTTTTCAAGGGTAGGCTATAGGCATACAAATACTACACGCTGGAAATAATGATATAATACTGGAAATCGTATGCTCGTCACACCTCGGCCCCATTAAGTTTAACCTATTAGATCTATTACAAGCATTTCATGTATTTCCACATTCAAATATACGCGCAGCATAATGATAATCCTCGCTGTCTCCTCTACAATACTGTGTGTTTAACTCCCATCCCCCACGCCGGTTCTCGCTCTTTCATTCCTCCCTGAAACGCGGAGCCTCACTGGGCATGCGGGAAGTGAGTGAAGCGGTGGATGGGGGCGCTACAGAGTCGTACAGGCCGGTCCCTGCGATACAATCTGCCGAGAGAGGGGGGTGAAGGAAAAAAACCAACTGGGTAGGTCGGTCTTTGTTTCTGGCTAGGAGGAAAAAACCAGGAGACGTTGCAACCGGTGAGGACTCAAACATCACCTTTCGCCGCTTGTGTAAGTGAAGTGTGATTTTGTTACCGGGCGAGGGGAGATTTGTCTGTGTTTTACGCTGCTGTTCGAGGATTAGTGAGCTTTTTACGAGGTGGTTTTTGTTTGAGAAAAAGACGAGACCGACATTACAGTGCCGCTGCTGTGGCGCGACAGTGTGCAATGAATGAAAATTGTTTTTGGAAATGTACTTAGAGCGGTGCACTGAGCCAAGGGTACGGGAGGCGCGTTGGATCAATCAGCTCCAGCGATGTGGGATGCTCTTACCGGCGCATCTGGATAAACATCTCTCTAAACAACACATTTTTCTGCCTAATTGGCCTGGGAGAGCATGGCCGGCTAGGCTAACTCAACTAGCTCGTTAGCATGCTAGCTACCGTCCGCAGCCAGCTTATGTTGTTGTAGGCTTTTTTATCGAACAGGGTAGTCTGAGTCGGGCTGGTGTTCTTTGTAGTTTTACCTCAAATTTTGAGTCAATTTACGGCTCAGTCAGGTGTCCGGTGAATACCAGCCAACTTGTGTTACTTTGTGAGAATCGGGAGGTTGAAATGTTGTGTTTTAACGGACATAATGTAACGTAAACTGTAAAACCCGGCTAGGCCTGGCTAACGCTAGCTAAGGCAGGAATGCTAATAATAGCTAACCCAACTGTTAATTGTTTGTAAATGTAAACACTGTAAAAAAAAAAAAAAAAAAAAAAAAAAGAAGAAAAAAACTGGACTCACAAAAAAGTTTCTACCTCGGTCAGCTGGTCTCTCATCGATCTTCACACTCGTTTGTCTGTGTATCAGCGCGGGCTGTAACTCGGTCAGGTTAGCTTCGTCTATAAACGTTTTATTTGATATAGTTTTGACCCATGTAGTGACAGTTAAGACGACCTCTTGGCGACCCGCTGTGTGTATGGAGTTTACATCCAGTAGAAACCGTTACATCCCTTTAGGGACTGACTTGATGTTTACGAGACAGATATGTGGTATCGGTGTTGATAATAGTCTTGTTGTTTCTGAAACTGACCATCTGCCACAATCTGAACTAGCAATGCTTCAACATTTAAAAGGACAACTCACCCCCACAACGACATGTTATTAACAGTTTCCTCTTATGCGTCCATCAGTTGAGATGTGATTAATTGTGGTTTAGAGCTGTTGGTCGTAGTTCACACTGGCATTTGGTGTATGTGGTGTATACTGTATTTGAAAAACACACACAACAGCAGCATCACTTTCCTAGAGTATTCACTCAACATGCAGTGTGATCCACTGACCTCCAATGAGAGTTACACCACCGGCTGTATGAACTGTTGGGCTGCACAATAAGGGGAAAATGATTTGATTAATCTTCAACAGTTTTGATTACGAGGGAATCGTTTTAATTAGTTATTAAGCAAAAAAGGCCGAGCAACCTAACTCTCCATTCAAATGTGTGGATTTGCTTCTCGGCTCATTGTAAATTTTATATGTTTGATTTTTTGGACTATTGGTTGGACAAAACAAGCAATTTGAAGGTGCCATGATTTTTGAGAAATTGGAGTAAGCCTTCTGATGTTTTATATACAAAACGATTAGTCAAAAACTGATGCACGGCTGAATCAGGGATGAAAAGCGTAGCTATATTTTGAAACAGATGTAGTGGTTCAGTTTTTCAGCTGTATTTAGCTGCTTTGAGCGTCACACAGTAAGTCTCAATGTGCTCATTGTAGTAAGCTCCGGCTGGTAGATCCAGGCCTCAGCAGATCACATCCAATCTCGTCTGGTGAATTTGTGCTTAAGGAATCATGCCATGAGTCAACACATCTTACTTATCTTAAAATAACACACTCATCTTAATATAATCACATTTGATCAAGCTGCTTAGATCTAGATCTTAGATATGGACTCGCACTAATGGTTTTAAAGAGAATTTATAAACACATACGTTTTGATAATTTCCTTAATTCCTGTTGTCATCTCACTTCGCAGGGTCCTTGCTGCTGCCACACATTCCCAGTTTCCCCTGAGAGATGTCCACTCCGGACCCCCCGATGGGAGGGACACCTCGGCCTGGACCCTCCCCAGGCCCAGGGCCATCTCCAGGAGGCATGATGGGCCCGAGCCCGGGTCCCTCACCGGGCTCAGCCCACAGCATGATGGGGCCCAGCCCAGGACCTCCCGGATCTGGACACCCCCACCCTCCACAGGGACCCTCAGGATATCCTCAGGACAACATGCACCAGATGCACAAAGTACTAGATTCTTATTTCCTTGTTTACCCTGCCTCTGTTAATTTATGTACTGACTAACATCAGTAATGGTGCATGTTTTTTTTATTGTGATAATGCTGAAACAACTAACTTTTCACCTGTTTGCTAATTATTTTGTTGCTATGGTAACTTATTGACTTAATGTCTTAATCTGAATGT